AAAAAAAAAAAAAAAAAAAAAAAAAAAAGATATCCGTCTCTTTATTTTGTATTCTAAGCCCTGCCAAACGGGCCATAAAAACTTTCGTGCTCAATTGCGTTTATTTTGTCTCTATCCCAGCCCATTTGGGGTATAAAGGTCAATTTGTACAACACCTCATAGTCTAATGTCCAAATAGTATTAAATGTGTAGCAATCTTTTAGAGCACATGCCCTCACAATCATCTAATTTGACAGCTTTTGTAGATAACCAGCCATAGTTTTTAAGCAACTTTTTTCTACAAAACCATATAAAAGTTTATCAATTCAAGAACCCCAACTGCCTTTTTTTTCCTTGTGAATTTGTGGCAAATATGAATCTCATTGGTGAATCTTTAGAGCCCTTTTTGTTCAAAGATGAAAATCTTGAGCCTGGAGAATTGATGGAGGAAGGCTGGTTCTTTGGCAATTTGCTTGACAGAAAAAAGAGGATGTTAAGAAGTTATTCTGATCCTTGTACTTCCTTAAACACCACTTTCTCAGAAAAATCATACGAGGAAACGTACAAATCGATCGAGAAACTCTCGGTAGGGATGGAATTAGATCAGCCTAGTTTGATGAGGACACCATCAATGCCAGAAAAAGGAAGTGTTCATCGAACGAAGAAATCAAATGGACAAGTTAAACGTGTCGATTTGCTTCGTGCACCGTCTTTGCCAACTTGCTCTGGAGAAGAGGAATTTCAAGATGAAGAGAGTGATTTTTCTATGGGAAAGTTAATTAGGCAAGCTTCTTTAAACCATTCAGACAGAAAAACTCCCACAAAACCTGCTTCAAAGGTACTGATCAATCTCCTTTACATGTATTTGTAGTGTCCATATTGCTTTAATTAATGGACCTGTTAAATGGAAGACATCAAATTAATAACCTTGTACCAACCTAATCCAAGAATGTACAGTGTACTAAATTTTACACTAATGTTCTGTCTAATGTTATTACATTTTGATTGCAGAGTTTGACAAAAAAATCCAGCATTACAAGGCATTCTTCACAAAGAAAGCCAGATATCGAAACCATTGACATGGAGGGCTATTCGGAGATGAAACAGAAACACCTAATTGATCAGGCAATGAAGATGCAAAAGAGCAATGATATACGAGGTTTTAGAGATTCGAGGTTAAGTTACAACAAAAGAGACTCAAATCCAAATGTGCTAAAAACACTTGAAGAATACGAATATTTTTCTGAGACGTGGCACGGAGAGAGCTCAGCCCCTCCAATTCCAAAATGGGTCGACAAAAGATCGAACAAAGACATGAAAGCGCAGATTAAATTTTGGGCTAGGGCCGTGGCATCTAATGTGCGCGCCGAGTGTTGAAACTTAGACCACCTTGGATGGATTAGCTTCACAAAATAAGTACAAAGCACATATATACTTGTAGGGATGAGTTGATCAGATAGAATTCTAGCTGTTGGCCATTTGCAAACATATGATCACTGTCACACAATTTCTCTAACATATTGGGAAATTCTGAATATTCTTTGCTAAACCAATTTCATGCTGATTCTTTTTCCATTTCAAAGGATTCGAAGTTTAAAGTTTCCGAATAATCATTTAGAATTTGATTTATCATGTTTTGTTACAACGAACGAGCTTATTGCTGAATTTTGCATCAGAAATAGAATGGATTTCAATATAGTTTTCTTCGCTTTGATATTCTCGATTGCAATCTTTTGCTTTGAAATGCAACAATGGATTTTCACTTCATGTGCACATAAAGTTGCATAAATATGTACTTTTCTCTGTGTGTATTTGGCCTTGGGGATAAGCAAGCAACTCCCACACACAAAACCGAGCTGCTCTTGGCATCAATCTTGCTGCATGTACATTATAGTTTACACCTTGGTTTAACGAATTTACACTTGGCACAATCTTACATCATCTTACACATTTAATTCAACTATCACAATCTTGCCACATTATCTATCTGTCAACAAGGATGCCAAAGTTAATGTACAAATAGCTTAATTGTCTTGACATAGATGATAAGCTTTGTAAATTGTACTTTGACACTAGATTATTCTTTTATATAGGTTTTCGCATGGAACGAGGTTCTTAATATTCGAGCAGGTTTTGCAATAAATCGAACAAAACAGTGCAAGCATGTCTAATTTTGCGAGTGGCTCTTTATTCATGTTCGTTATTAATATTAATAAAAAAGCTTGTGAAAAAAAAAAAGGAGATAATTTTGTTATAAAAATAAAGATATTTTTAAGCACGAATTGATAACTAGGAAGAGACAATAATTAAAAACAAATAAGTCAGTTTTCAATTTTCTGGAAAATTATATCTGGGGTCCCAAACCTATGCGTGGAAGAGTTTTTAGGTCCCAACATTTAAATCCAAGTGTCTAGGTCCCTAAGCTTTCAGCCTTGTAGCATTCAGACATCAATGGATACAAATAAGGAAGATGCTACAAGTATCAAATGGTTTACCTAGGGGGTCGCCACTTGTCAATTCAATAAACCATTAGATACACTATTTGGTACATATAGATTAATCCTACATTTATCGAATTAACAAGTGGCGACCCCCTATTGGACAGCCACCCCTCCAATAGGGGGCCACCACTTGTCAATTCGATAAACTATTTGGTACAAATAGATTAATCCTACAAGTAACCCATTTAACTGTTACAAAATCAAAGTACATACTGAAAAAACCATTATACCTTATTTTTGTTTTTTGTTTTTTTAATTTAACAAAAAAGGATACACGAAGAAAAAATTAACAAAATTTATAGTCTCCGCCAAGCCCTAGCCCACTAACCCCTTCACTCCACACCATCCTACATAGGCTACCTTAGCCATCAACGATCATGCCCCATTCTCTAATATTTGTTTTCTCTAACTTCTTCATCCGCCCACCCTTGCAAAATGAACATAAAACCTCGTTTGATTTGGTTAAAAGTCAGATTTTTTTATTTTATTTTTATAAATTTTGATAAAAGTAAATAAAATATGTGATTAAAAATTTAATAAAAATTGTGAGTCCTATAAAATATGTGGTTGAAACGGATTTAAATAACTAGGACAAACGGCGAAAAAGATTAGGGTTTCATTTTTGATCTTTACTACCAAGATTAGTTTGAAGTTAAAGATCTTCAATGAATCCTTCTCACATACTAGAGAAACTATAGAAAACAAATTTAAAAAACTTCTACATGGCCTTATAAACTCAAAATTTGACTGTCAAACTAACGATTTCGATTTATGTAGGCCTAAATGCGATAAGGTGAAAGATTGGAGGCGAGCTTTGATGATCAGCTTTAAAAGTTGGGGCTTAAATGCGGTTGGTTTAGCTTTTCATTTTCTATTTTCGATTTTAAAATGATTTTTAATTTTCTCTGAAAACGGCACGTTTTGAGCGTTTTCCGCGTTTTGAAAATTTATAACTGAAAACGCTCAAAATAATAAAAAGTTGTTTTGCGTTTTCAGTTATAAATTTTAACTCATTTACAACGATCAAGCGCATTTTACATGTTTTCGAAAACGAAAAACAAAAAATGACTCGAAAATGTCAATCCAACCGGAGCCTAGTTTCCCAATTTTATTTTCTTGGCTACTTTGATCCTCGTGTCCCAGATATTCTTCACTGTAAACTGATCAACTGCCATGAGCCCTTCCAATCCTCAACTGTAAACCAAAACCTCTACAAATGTTGCACTTTCGGAACACTTTGCATCTTCCCTCAAACTACCTTTTCCCCTCTTTATCTCCACTTTTCATTTCACAACCTAGTCAACTTTCCTGAAGAACCTCCACCACTTCCAGTCTTTATCTGCTCTGTCCACAAAATATCTGTTGCCAAAATTTCAGAGGAGCCCACCACCACGACCTACAGCTCTGCAGATGCACCGCCGGAAGAGGGACCCGTTGAATTCTCACCCTCAATTCCTCCCATTTTCTCCACCTCCAACGACCCTGCTCCTCTCCTTACGGTGCCATCACTGTCTTTCTTTTCCGGTCCCTCCGCTGCCGCGCCAAGCGTGCCAAAGAAACGGTATTTATACTCACCAAGGGCTTGTTTTGCTTTTCCTTCTTTTTTGGCTCATAAAGGAATTGAACTTACTTTGTTTGCTTGTGTATGCATACTCAAATGTTGAGTGTTGTAATCAGAATTTCCAAATAATTAGCAAATTCTTATTTTGTGATTCATAGGGTACACAAGTTCAATTGTTTGATAAGATTAAATTAGTAGTAGATTTATGTTCATATTTAATTAGCAAGATTCAATTTTTAGATGATAGATTAGGATAGTTCAAACTTAGGACCTTCATTAATTAATGCAGTTCGCTTTGGAAGTTGTATGTGGCATTCATTGTTCATGCAGTGACATTGCGTTGCTTAATCCAGCCTCACATATGATTTTCTGTTCTTGAGATTAAATTGAATGTAGAGAGTGTAGGGTGTTTTTGTTCTGGAGTTCTAATATATATATTCTGAATATTTGCCCATTTTCTCTTATTAGAGATTCAGGTCATCAGGGGCAAAGAAATCGTTGAAGGAAGAGGTCCTGAAGAGCTTGAGAGCAGTGTCTCTGTCACCAGTTACCACCAAGGCTGCGCCTTGGCCTGTCCAGGCACTGTTGGGAGAATTATCGGCCGGAGTGATTGCAATGATTCTTTACAAATTCACAACTACTATTGAGGCTTCACTCAATCGACAGATTCTTTCAGATAAGTTCTCGGTGTGTCTCCAATTTAGCTGCATCAACTATCATATATGAGTCATGTATCCTTTTTTGCCCTTTTTCTTCATAAAATCTAAGGCAATTCATATAGAATTAAAAATATCTCATATCATAATAATTCAATATCAATCAATAAGTTGCATTTGGACCGCATTTAACTGACTCCAGACTAAAAATACATAAAATGATTACACTATGGTTAGATTCAAATTGAAAGATATCTAATACTTACTTATGAGTACTGTATACTTTAAATATGAGACTTTATTGAAGTTTTGAACAAGTGGGGGATTGATGGAAATATTGTTCAAAATCAGTAAAATATTGAGTGTGGAATGAAATGGTGATGATGGCTGTAAATGTGGTCTTTGTAGCCCATGCGGTCGCATGGATACTTGCAGAAATAATCTTGCCCAGTTTGAGATAAACTGTGCGGCCGCATATTGTTGGACTATGCGGTCGCATAGAGGATGGAATTAGCCGTTGGAGACGGTTTTTGATTCAAATTTGGCAGCCTTTCACTTATACTTTGGTGGCACCACTTCGTATAGCAATGTTTCATAGCTATAAATGGATGGTTGATGATCATTCTAACATTAAGAAAAACACTTGAATACATTTGTGATCATAATCTTCATTCCACAAGAAGAAATCAAAGTCTTCTTTATCTATATTCAATATTCCCTTTGTGTTCTTCAAGTTTTGGAGAATTTATACAAGTGTTTAAGTATTGATTCTTTACAAGACTTGATTAATCCTACAAATCGTTTGCCGTGAAACTCTTTAAGCACCAAAATCATATCGTGAGGGGGCGAATATCGTTTGAGGACAACGATCACATGTTTATATTCGTTTTCTTCTTCATCTTTTCTTTTTTCATCTTCTTGATATTCTGGTTGTTTGTTTCTTCTTCATTTTACCCCGTGATGATAATTTCCCAACACACTTTGCATCTCCCGTCAAACTACCTTTTCCCCTCTTTATCTCCACTTTTCATTTCACATTCTAGTCAACTTTCCTTAAGAACCTCCACCACTTCCAGTCTTTACTCTATCTGCTCAGTCCACAAAATATCTGTTGCCAAAATTTCAAAGGAGCCCACCACCACAACCTACAGCTCTGCAGATGGACCGCCGGAAGAGGTCACCCTCGATTCCTCCCATTTTCTCCACCTCCGATGACCTTACTCCTCTCCAACCGGCCACCAGTGTTCTCCTTACCAGTGCCATCACTGTCTTTCTTTTCCGGTCCCTCCGCGGGCGTGCCAAGCATGCTGCCAAAGAAAAGGTATTTATACTCACCGGCTGAGAATCTTGTTTTGCTTTTTCTTCTTTTTTGGCTCATAAAGGAACTGAACTTACTTTGTTTGCTCGTGTATGCATAATCAAATGCTGAGTGTTGTAATCAGAATTTTCAAATAATTAGCAAATTCTTATTTTATGATTTATGGGGTACATAAGTCCAATTGTTTGATAAGATTAAATAAGTAGTAGATTTATGTTCATGTTTAATTAGCAAGATTCAATTTTTAGATGATAGATTAGGATAGTTCAAACTTAGGACCTTCATTAATTAATATAGTTGGCTTTGGAAGTTGTATGTGGCATTCATTGTTCGTGCAGTGACATTGCTTTGCTTAATCTAGCCTCACATATGATTTTCTGTTCTTGAGATTAAATTGAATGTAGAGAGTGTAGGGTGTTTTTGTTCTGGAGTTCTAATATATATTCTGAATATTTGTCCATTTTCTCTGATCAGAGATTCAGGTCATCAGGGGCAAAGAAATCGTTGAAGGAAGAGGCCGTGGAGAGCTTGAGAGCAGTGTCTCTGTCACCAGTTACCGCCAAGGCTGTGCCTTAGCCTGTCCAGGCACTGTTGGGAGGGTTAACAGCTGGAGTGATTGCAATGTCTTCAGAAATTCACAACTACTATTGAGGCTTCACTCAATCGACAGACGCTTTCAGATAAGTTCTCGGTTTGCTCTCCAATTTCGCTGCATCAACTATCATATATGAGCCATATATCCTTTTTTGGCCCTTTTTCTTCATAAAATCTAAGGCAATTGCACATGGAATTAAAAATGTCTCTTATCATAAGAATTCAATATCAATCAATAAGTTGCATTTGGACCGCATATAACTGACTCCAGAATATTGGATATAGTACTAATCTAAGTTTAATCATGATTTTATTAAGTTTTTCTTTATATAGCTCGTGGATATCAAATTTTATCATCTTAAACAGAATCTCAGGTATCACATACTGGTTTAGGGAGTTCTGCATATCTATTTCCTTTAAGGCTTTTGGATTTGTTCGTGATGGATGCACCCCCTGTAATTAGTTAACAATATTAAAACCGGAGAGATGCTTATGATGTTTTATCATTTAGCAATAGGATAAACTTATTAAAGTCAATACATGATTCTCGGGCGATCACTTCTTTCTGCAATTTCATTTTATTTTTTGTATGCATGGGCTTCTTAAATTTTTGCTTGATTGATGTTTGTTTAAATTCTGAACTTAAGTGCAATGGCAGAACATTTGAAGGGTATTTGGACCGTCAATATATCATTTACGTATTTCTATGCTCAAGGCAGTCTTAATTTATTAGAAAAAATAAAAATAAATACATTTAGTGAGTGGTCTTGTCTAATATGAGTGATTCACAATACTAATGCTACATATTTTCGCCTGTTCGCAGGTCCACCAGATAACGATAAGTTAATTTTGGCAACTTGACCTGAAATTCTCTGTTCTCTCTGATAAAATTTGACTTTTGATCCCTTTTCATCAACTATATGCAGGACTATTGTGAATGGATTGTGTTACCTTGCTACATTTGTTGTTGGCCTCAATGCTGTAGGTTTATTACTTTCCTCGGGCCAACTTGCCATCAACTCCGTCATGGGAGAGTCTAATGGTCAAGATGAAGCACCATTAAGTTCATCAAATTCGAAATCAGTTAGTACAGATGGCTCTGGAATCGCTGGTAGCGATGAGGATCAAAGTTCAGAGAATGCACAATACTGGAAGTAAGAATCTAGTAGTAGCAGCTGTAGCCCGTTTACTATTTTGTCCCCTTTTTTTCCTTCTTTCTTATCAAGGCTTTATATCTGTTTTTTGCTATGCTGGAATTCTAGAAAAGAGTGTAAATGGAAACTGGAAAAAATGCTATTTATTTCATGGAGTGCAAAACCATACTTATACAGCAGTAGGATCTCTTACATTATAAGTGCAGAGAAAAGAGGTTATCCTCTTTCATCCCTGTTATAGTTTTCTCTCTTGTATTGCTGATTTCGCTTCCGTGATCTTAAGTTGATGCTTGATGTTCTGCTCCATCCATTTCCGATCTCTGACGATGATCATTAGCACTAGTAACTGTAGTCATTTCTTTACCACTCTCCTTCGAGTGATGGCTGGCTGGTGTCTTTGTAAAGTTAGGCAACGGGGTTGTGTTTCTATCCAGATTATGCAACACCACTACTGTTATCACCGAACAAACAAACATCGGGATTGGACCGAAAATCCAAAGAAGCAAATTGCTGGCAAAAAAGAGTGATCTCAAGCCAATTACCCAGTAATTACTTCCTCTTATAATTGCATTCTCAACATGGCTAGTAGGGATCTCACAATTTGGCATGCTTATAAGGAAATTGGCATTAACAAAACAACTTGCTGTCTGAACAAAACAACCAAAAGCAACCAGGAAACAAGAAAGAAGAGTTATAAACTTTATGTAAACAGCGGTCGAGCTTTTGTTCCCATAGATATTACTGCTTAAGAAAATATTGTGGGAGGCGCTTCCAATCCACGCCCCAATTAGAGAACTCAAAGCCAGGGAAATGGAAGCTAGTGAAATTGCTGCAGATATATTGCCGTTGATCACAGTTAAAGCTTGCCCTCTATCTTTGGCTTCAACCTGCAAATAGCCAGATAAATATAACAAACAAGACTTTTAACTTCTTTTAACATGGTCGAGTGCTACTGACCTCGAGAATTCTTCGAACCCAAGCCTTCTTGTTATGATTTTCATAGCCGATAATAGTGGTATTGGGGAGATGTAGGCATCTGTGGAGATGGAATAGATGGTATCCAAGCATGAGCAGTATACCACTTGGGACTAGAAAAAAATCCAAGAGTTCTTCCTTCAATGTAAGCCCCATCTCTTCGTTCTTCTTCACATGTACAAAGTCTCTTCTTTCTTTGTGCAGAGTCTTCTTATGAGTTGTAATGGCTAATGGTAATGGTGGTAGGTAAAAAAATTGGTAGTCTTAATATTTTATGTTGGATTGTGGTCATTAAGGACGCTGGGCAACGGTCATTTGAGTATTTAATTCCTGTGTACCTAATTGTTTATAAAAATAGTAATTTGTCCATGACCATGAATCCATTTATCTAGATCTGGAAGAAAGAGTCCATTCTAGACCTGATGCTAGCCATTTAATATATTGAAATACATCAGCTTGGCGTGCTATCATATGTTTCTAAAGGATTTAAAGAAATTTTGAAAATCTCTTGATTTGTTCCAAGTAACCTAATTTTTTATGCTAACTAACTTGTGTCTAGTGTAACAATGTTTGTTGTGTCCGATCTTAAAAGGTCATATCGGATCATTTAAGCCTACTTCAAAACAATTAGAAGAAGTTGGTCATGAAGAAAGACAATGACACGTCAGCATTGAAGCAAGTCAATTCATAATAAATGTTATTTAGAAACACTTTCATGACAGAACTAAAGAGATGTTCCCCTATGGCATCGCGCCACCCCTTGTAACCAATCAAAGACAAAAGGGTGTCTACCATAACGCCAGTGCCACCTATTGCCACTAATCAAAGAACAATAATGATGGCCTGGGTTGTAGGCTACGATCCAAACGACAGCTCGCCGCAGCCAATGAATTTTTTTCTAAATTGGTTGATGTCACGCATCACTAGATCGGATATTATGGGCCTGTTTGGGCCCGATTTTTTTCTCAAAAAAATTGATTTTTTGACCGATATTTCACTATTCCAGCCATCATATTTGACTTCTTCTCTCAGAGGTGGACCCCACTTTTCTCCTAACGATCAAAAAATCAATTCTTAAAATCACTCCCAAACAGGCTCTATAGCTTGAAATGACCAAGGGCGACAATATCGAATCTTGCAACCTCTATAAGGGGGGAATGGCCCAACGAAATGGGTCGAGCTAATCCAATTCTCCGTAATACCCTACTGAGAAGATTCTCAACAATAATAAAAATTATTCTTACAAAAATTCCAACAAGCAATTGTTACCATGTTAAAATTTCTTTTAAGTTCATCTCCAAATGTCATGTCATTTTTAGCCATTAACTTTATAGGGCTCGAGACATGATGTTCACCGATGATATATGCCTAATAGGTGTTCGACCCACCAGCAAGGTAACTATTTTCTATTTCTAAATATGTAGTGTTTAACGAAATTTGGATAGAATTTTCTTGTAAAATCAACTATGATCTTGCACAAAAAATGGGGGAAATGATGTTTTGAATAGTATTTTTTGAAAAATGTGTGGTTAAGAAGTAAAAAAATTTTGGATTTACATGTAAAAAAATATTTCATTTGTAAATGTGCAATTAAAAATGAGTATGTACAAAAAAAAAAAAAAATAAAATTAAAGAGAGTAAAACAGAGGCTAATTAAAGAAGCTAGCTTTATTCCCAAGTTATATACTAATATCATTATTTTGTATACTAAAAAAATGTTTTCTATGAGTGAACCATTTTTGTATATAATTGATAATTTTTCACCTAATCACGAATCCCCAATACTCGCTCAATGAACATTCAAATGTACAACGTTATTTATAGAGAAATTTGCATCATAGGTTTCAAACCTTTCAAAAGTATACATCACGATTCTAACCTTTAAATCATTACAATTTTGTCTAGAAGCACGTTAGTTGAACAAAATGTCATAATTTGACCTGCATTTAACAATATAATGAAGGGCAAAATAGCTTTTAACATTTAATTAATTAAATTAATAATTGAAAAAGAGAAACAGAAACAGAAAACATTTTTTATATGATAGCTAGCCCCTACAATCAAAAGGTTTGAGATTGTGCTTTACATTTTGGAAAGATTTGGATTCTCTACTGCAAATTTCCGTAAATTATATTTAGGGATATTGCAGCAAAAGCCCTGAACCTTTGAAACATTAGCAAATTTTTCTCAAACATTTCATTTGTTGCAACCTTCATCCTAACATTTTCAAATGTTGCATGTGAGACCCTTTTGGATGGTTTCCGTAAAAAATGTCGTTAGTTGACTATTAAAGTAAACTTTGACCACCTTTTAATCAATTTTAGAAGGGGAAAATGGTAACTTTTTATTTATCATATTAAACAATTGAAAATTTTAAATAAAAAAAAAAATGGATCTTCTTCTTCTCTCCCCCTACCCCCTCAATCTAGTTACTAGTGGTTCTGGCCAGTCTTCATCGACGGATTTAACTACACCTACGGTAGCTGCACCCACTATTTTTAATTCTAATTTTCGGTACCAGCTCTAGATTCTATGCAATTAAATTACTCGAAGCTATGAAATTCATTGAAACGATGCCAATTGAACTTGATATTTCTGTCTGGGAGCATTGTTCAGAGCTTGCTAGAAATATGTAGATCATGAATTTGGTGGAGAAGTTGCTAAAAGGCTTTTCCAAATCGAACCTACTAACCCTATAAACTATGTACTACTCGAAAATATGTACGCTCAAGCAAATAGGTTAAACGAAGCTGACAAGGTTAGGAGATTGATGGGGCTTATGGTATCATAGTGAATAACTTGCCCTGTTCAATTTTGTCCTATCTTCACGCCAATAAGTCGTCCACCGTTTTTTTTCCACCCAGGCTCTAGCTCCACTTCAAGCGCCCATTGGCTTCTCGATAGTTTCCATCCAGGCTTATTGGTAAGCCGTCCATTGATCGTTTCCACCCACGTCCCAGTCATCCACAGATTTATTATTACTGGTGGGGGAGAGAAGAAGAAGATCCTCCCCCCCTTTTTTTTTTTTGGTTTTTGATTTTAAGTTTTTTAGATTTTTAATGGGTAAATAGAAAGTTAGCATTTTGCTATTTTAAAATTGATTAAAAGATGGTCAAAATTTGTTTTGATGGTCAGCTAACGGCATTTTTTACGGAAACCATCCAAAAGGGCCTCACATGCAACGTTTGAAAATATTAGGGATGATGGCTGCAACAAATAAAAGATTTGGAAAAAATCTGCTAATATTTCAAAGGTTTGGAATTTCAACTGCAATAATCCCTTATATTTATTTGTTTATGACATGCACTTAAAATAACAAGATGGTCTTCTTATTGAGGTCAATTAAAAACTATACACTAGATTTGATTAAGTAATTAATTAATTATAAGTGGCTTGACAAACTTTTTCTAAGTGCTTTGGTCGTAACTGATGGCTCACATAGTATTTATATTTCATTTCAACGTTTAGTCGGCCATAAAATAAAACACATAATCTTTTTTAATTTCAAACAAAATCTACCAAAAAGTACAATAAACATATCTTAAATGTCCATGTGTCTGACTTAGATGTACAGTGAATCGTTATATCTAAGCTCAACACGATATAGTCCGAGACTCTGAGGTCTGGTCCACAATAAAGGCTAGCTCACCTCACATGGATCACAAATTTTTTTTTTTTTTTTTTTTTTTTGGCTCAACTCGAATAATAACCATTTATATTTTCACTTACACATTTAAATAAAAATCTATTTTTATAGTAAACAAAAGTGATGATATCGACTCACACAACCTACTTTACATCATTACACAAAATGTGACATGCAAGAAGTGTCCAAAAAGCCTCAAAATAAAAATTTCTAGGTACATGCAAATTTTATTAATAATGGATGAATGATAAAGCTGCTTTATAGTATTGGCCCCATCGTGTCCTTTTGTGGATTTCATTTTCTATTCATTAGGGCTAAAAAATTAAAGCATCATAGCGACAATGGAAAAAGGTTGGGAATCTATGTCCAAATATGTTCATCCACTTTGTAAATTTTTTAAATGTTTCGACTCGAATTTACATTTAACACGAAAAAATATATATTTTGCGTCAACTGCTAATGGCCAACAACTTCAATTCTTTTAATGAAACAACCTTTGCTGTATAT